TTTTATATTAATTTGCATCATTTCCGGGTGAGCGCTGATGTCTTAAACATTTAAATAAATGCAAATGCGTAGCTACAGTGTCTTTGCTTTAGCTATATTCAGATCACTTGCGGAGCCATTCTGAGCCATGAAAACTACCCAGGTGGTTTCTGGTGTAGATGGATCTCATGTAGTACAGTGGTTTCCCCTCATGTTGTTTTATCTGTAAACTGGAAGGCAAGATGACCAAAAGCCAGACTCAAAAGGTTTAAAGTGGAAGCACTTCTGCTGTTTTTTCCTGTCACTGTATTTAGATTAGTGTTGATTGCAGAAACATAACTCCACACTTAAGCTTTTATTTAAATTATGTCATGTTTTGATATTTTACTTAAATATTTACTTGTATTTCATTTTATACTAAGTTTAAGTTGCAAGCTGTCTTATATGTTGAATTACATTTTTTTTCAGCAGTAACAAAGGGATAAAGTATCTGTTAATGAAAAACACTCATCAGCTCAGTGAGCAGAGTCGTGTTTTATAATGCTGACCAGCCACAGACAGGGGAGCACAGTGGTCAGTGCTGTAGTTAACGTCCCCACCTTTCTCTTCCTCCTCAGTGAGCGAGTGCGAGGCGTCGGCCATGCTTCCTCTGGAGTGCCAGTACCTGAATAAAAGTGCATTGACTACTCTGGTGGGACCCCTCACACCTCCCGTCAAACATTTCCAGCTGAAGAGGAAGCCCAAGAGTGCAACCCTGAGAGCAGAGCTGCTGCAGAAATGTAAGTTCATTTAATAATGGCCAATACACACGACGTCCCACAGCTATGGGGGGAGAGACCGTGGGGTGGGGTAAAAGATGTGCATTTGTGTTCATTTAATTGTGCCTGACAGATTGTCAGTGTCTGGTGTTCTTCAAGAATTGATTGTCCAACTTAACACATTTTATATCCATTTGTTTTATAGCTACAGAAACAGCCCAGCAGCTGAAGAAGACAGCCGGAGTGCCTTTTCATGCCAAAGGGAGAGGATTGGTCAAAAAGATTGACACCACAAGTAAGTATATAAAAAAAAAATAAGTCATACTAAAAAAAAGATTTAAATTATTTCACTGCATCCACGTTTGCATTACAGCTCCTCTCAAGGGGATTCCCAAAGCCCCATTCCGCAGCCCCACCACCCCCAGTATGTTCAGCCCTCCCAGTAACCGCACACCTATTGCTCCCGCACGGACGCCCCTGCGTAAGGAGCGGGGGGTCAAGGTAAGTCGTATCCAGTGTATCGTTTTTCTTACAGCTTTCGTTCTTTCATCCTTGTTCTTCGCTTTCATTGAGCTCCTGCAGGATTGGAGTGACACAGGGTTTTTTTTTTCTCCTATTGTTCAGCTGTTAGATATTTCAGAGCTGGATATGGTTGGAGCTGGAAGAGAAGCTAAGAGGAGGCGAAAGACTTTGGGTAAGTAAATTTACAGCCTTAGTTAGATTTTCTTGAGCAATAAGGTGTGACTCTGTGTCGGTGCTTAACCTGTGCTTGTTTTTATGATATAGAAACCGAGGCTGGAGAGAAAGCAGCCAAAGAAGAAGCTGTGGTGGAAAACACCACACCCGACTACGCTGCTGGCCTCGTCTCCGCACAGGTATTTAACCCAACATATATCTACTGTTCTCTGTCACACCAGCCCCCGTTTGCCTCTCTGCCATCGTAGGTTCACTCCTTTGTGTCGTTTCTCAGAAACTGGGGTCGCTGAACGAGAATCCTCTGCCATCAACCAGCTACCTACCAGCCACACCAAGCATGGTTCCCTCCTCGTCTTACATTCCCAGCTCCGAGGCACAGCCAGGTTAGCCGCCTACCTCTCAGGGCTCAGCGCTTTCTCACTCAAACAAATAAAGTTAAATTCTCTGCTCATGCGTTTTCTTCATGTCCTCCTCCAAAAGCCAATGCTGGTGGTTCGGGACGGGACACGCTGCAGGCGGCCCGTCAGCCAGAGGAGTCGGCGACAGCGACCACAGGTGCCAACGCCACCTTACCGGGCCAGTACAAGCAGAGGCCGCCTATGTACAATGCGGGAACCACAGCAAACCCTGCAACTCCCACATCCCCCAGCACACCGGTATCCACCCCCGCCAGCAATGGACCACCAGCAGCTGCGACAGCCAGCCAGCCAGAGACCCCCACTCAGCCTCCCAGCACACCTCAGACCCCCACCCCGACAGCAGCCCCTACGCCACCACAGCCACAGCCCAAAAAGAACCTCTCACTTACGGTAAATAAACACCATTTCAAGACTTTCAAAGTCAGAGGATATTAAAACGTCAGCTAAATTATCTGTCCCCACTGTTTCCGACCGTCAGAGAGACCAGATGTACGCCGCCCAGGAGATGTTCAAGACCGCCAACAAGGTCACGAGGCCGGAGAAGGCCCTCATCCTGGGCTTCATGGCTGGATCCAGAGGTATGAGAGTTTTTAGCTGCTTGATGCAAATATAAAAAACAACAGCTTTTTCATAAATGCATATTACTTCCTCACAGAGCCTGTATCTAAAAGTACAGATTATTTATCTAGTTTACCATTTTACCAGTTGTATTTCCTGTCAGACCCGTTTTCATTCACTTCACCCTTTTTTTCTTTTCTTTTTTTTGCAAATTAGCTTTAACACATTGTGACTTTGGTCACTAGCAGATTGCTGCAGATGCATGTTTGGATGGAAGATGCAAACTTGTCTGCAAACTCTCAAAGGGCAGTAAAACTTGGATATTGTGCACCTTTTAAATAAAAGTTAAACCTGTTTGTAGCAGTGAGGCACATCTTCTACTATGAATGTGTTTGAACAGTCTCAATTTCCAGTTTGCGTTGAATTCACCCAGCACCTGCCAGCAACATTTTTCCCAACGAATGAAGGTCAATAAGGTCACTGACTGGTCTCAAGGCCTGTGTAAATCTGAATTCCCTGTAGTCATTCAGAGTTTCCCCACATTTGCTGCAGGATTTTACAGAATATGTTTCAGTTTAAATGCAGTTTTAACTACAGTAGATGTCCCTCATAATTTCTCAGCATTTATGCACATCTGACAGGGCAAAAACTAACCAGCCTACCACCCTAACTCCACCCTTCCCTACCCCCCACCCATTCCCTGCAGAGAACCCATGCCCGGAGCAGGGGGACATCATCCAGATCAAGCTGAGCGAGCACACAGAGGTTTTGCCCAAAGCCGACGGCACTGGCAGCACCACCATGCTGGTAGACACAGTCTTCGAAATGAACTACTCCACAGGACAGTGGACCCGCCTCAAGAAATACAAACCCATCACCAACACCTCCTGAGGCGATGCGCTCGCTCAGGAATCCCCACTTCAGACGTGTTTACGCACAGTTACAAAGTATTTGCATACACATTTGGGCCAAATCGAGCACGGGGAGGGTGAAAGATTGTCAAGGAGAGAAAGGTTCTCCCTTTTGCTGCACCTCCAAAATGTGGGACTCTTTGAAGACTTGTTTTTTTGGGGGGTCGTTTCCCTTACCCTTTTATTGTTTTTATGTCACTTCCGATTTCTGAATGATGCTGTTGACAGGAGAGCGATACGAGTTATTCTCACGGCAGGCACCTTTGAACCTTTGTACTGAGGTACAAGCATGTCACGTGTTTAGAAAGACGACGAGCCGTCTGTATTTTTCTGTGCAAATGTGACGTTTGCAGCTTATTCTTCTACATTTCAGAACCAAACCATGTTTTGTGATGAAACAGAAATTAACAAAGACGGTCATTGTAAAGATGAGATGAAATAAAGAAAAAGAACTAGTTCTTAATGCTGTCCACTTCTGTTTTGGAGCCTTCTGATAGATGTTTAATAATTTTTCATCCTTTTTTTCCAAAAGAAGGGAAGAAAATAAAGTGACAGACTCCAGCAGGTGTCTCTCTTTCTTACTCACTTTGACCAGTGGGGGTTTATTTTGTGTTTAACTTATCTTACACCTTTAAACACAACACATGCTTATTAAGATATCTCCAATGAGACTGTGTGTGTCTCCAGTGTGGTTTTGTTTCAACATTTAGTCTGCGTCCTTCCTGTGTCTGACTTCCTGCCCTGCTCATGAGTACTTTGATGTGGCTTCAGTCAAAAATAGAGTTAATTTACCAACACAGGGCAGAGATCTGCATTTGAAACAAGTATAGTTGTCTTTGTGTGTGGCATGAGCATTTCTCAAAGT